TAGACCTTAAACCCTAAACCCGAAAACCCAGACCCTAAACCCGAAACCCTAAACCCGAAACCCTAAACCCTAGACCCTAAACCCTAAACCCTAGAGGGAGGTAGACACAAGCGGCCCTGGCAGGCCAGATCTGCTGCACCGCAGCCACCCCATGATCCCAATGCAGCTCGGTATATGAACCTATAGGGTTTAAGGTTTAGGGTTTAGGGTTTAGGGTTCAGGGTTTAGGGTTCAGGGTTTAGGGTTTAGGGTTTAGGGTTAAGGACGGTGTGTGAATCCTACAGGGATTTAAGGTTCATATTAGCATAAGAGGGATTCATAAAATACGGGTGTAGGGTCCCACGGTTTAAGGGTCTTGTCGTCCTTAAGGCAAACCCCCCACATCCCCAATCCCGATACCATGTCGTAAACGCCTATAAACCCAGAACCCTAATTAAACCCTAAACCCTAAACCCTACTCAAACCCGAAACCGTAAACCCTAAAACTTAAGCCCGTAGCGCTCAGCTTGTCGATTTTGCGGAGACTTGCTTCGGAATTGGGGGGTTTTCGGGTTTTCGGGTTCAGTGTTTGAGGTTTAGCCAGTTCAGCGGTGAATTTTTGGGTGTAATTTAATAGTTCAGGATTTGGGGCTTGGGGTTTAGAGAAGAGGGCTTGGGATTTACGGATTCGTTTTCGGGTTTGGGGGTTTTGTGGTCAGGGATGAGGGTTTAGGATGTTTTGCACCCTCTGAGATTCTAGGAACGGAGCTTGCGAAAAAGCATTCCTACCGGTCCTAGCAGATTCTGCCAGCACAGGGTTCCGGCATTCGGCTTTAGGGTTTAGGGTTTAGGGATTGGGGATGAGGGTCAAGGGTTGAGGGTTAAGTCTAGGACAGTTTCAGGCGGGTAGTTACCGTTTTAGGAGCCTTACAGAAGGTCCATATACCTTAGAGAAGCATTATAGAAGCCTTATATACCCTAAACTCCCCACCTGCAGTTTCCTTTAATCAAGGGTCCCTAAACCCTGAACCCTGAACCCCCTGAACCCTGAACCCTAAACCCTATACCCTAAACCCTAAACCCTAAACCCTAAACCCTAAACCCTAAACCCTAAACCCTAAACCCTAAACCCTAAACCCTAAACCCTAACCGGGGTTGAGGGTTTCGGGATCCTACCTGCATGTTGGCCGAGATAGGGAGGGCCTTTTTTCAAGGGCTCCAAGCCTTGCGTCGTTGAAGGTGTCTGGGTTTAGGGGTGTTGGGGTTTTAAGGATTAGGGATTTAGGGATTTAGGGGTTTAGGGTTTTTTTGGGTTTAGGGTTTTGGGGCTTTCGGGTTTTGGGGTTGAGCGGTTCAGGGGTTTAGTTAGGGGTAAGGGGTCTGGATTTCCCTGTGGGTCGTTTCAATGCTTCTGAAAGATTGTCAGGTCGAGCGCAAGCCCCCAAAACTGGAAGTTCGAGGCTTATCATGTTAAGGTTTCTCATGTTGAGCCACGCTTCGGGTTTAGGGTTTAGGGTTCAGATTGCAGAGGACGACACAACATGCCCCAGGCCGGAAATTGTTCTTCTTGGGCGGGGGGTTACGTTGCAGAATGATATATTTTGCAGAAAAAACATTTTTCCAGCTAACTCCTAGAACCCTAAATCCTAGAACCCTAAATCCTAAATCCTAAGTCCTGGAACTCTTAATCCTAGAACCCTAAATCCTGAGGACGTTGCGGGGGTGGGGGGAGGGGTTGCAGAATAATATTGCTGGGCAACCCGGGTCCGGCGAGCCAGGCCCACCCTAAAGTTTAGGATTTAGGGCAGTTTAGGGTCTACCCTAACCCTAGACCCTAAACCCTAAACCCTAAACCCTAAACCCCTTAACCCTTAACCGTCTAGGATTTCAAGAATTCCGCTCGAAACCTTTTAAAGCCGAAGGCTTGGACCTCCAAGCCCAAAGCCGAAACCGCCCACAGCCTCGGATTATATGCCCGAAGTCCAAAGCCGCAAGCCCTAAAACAACTTAAGAATGTAAAACCCTGAGCCAGAAAATGCACCTTAAACCCTAAACCCTAAGCGTTGAATCCCTAAACCCTAAATCCCTAAACCCTAAACCCTAGATCACTAAACCCTATAATGAACCCTATTGGGACCCTGAGGAAGTGGAACTATGTACCGGAAGGCTTCGACGAGAAGGCCTGCTTGGGGTTTTGGGATTTCGGGCCGTTGGGTTTTGGGCTATTGTTTAGGGTTTAGTGTTTGGGGTTTAGGGTTAGGGCTTTAGGGTTTTTAGAGTTTAGGGCTTCTTGGCTTCATCCTTTGTCTGGGTTTACACAGGATTGTACAAGAGGCTTAGAAGGGCAGCGGCTCCCGACGTTTAGGGTCTACATGTAGGGGCCCTAAACCTAAACCCTAAACCCTAAGCTTGCCCCAAACCCTAAACCCCAAACCCTAAGCTTGCCCAAACCCTAGACCCTAAACCCTGAGCTCGCCCCAAACCCTAGACCATAAACAATAAGCTGACCCCAAACCCTAAACCCGAAAACCCCAGCTCGGGCTTTCAGCTTGCTGTTTGCGGGGTTTGAGTGCTTCGGGCTTCTCGGTCTTGATAAATTCGGGCCTGGTGGGTTTTGCAAGGCGAGGAGGGTTCAAGGTTCAGGCTTCCTTATTATGTTTTTGTTGGTTTAGGGTTTAGTGTTTAGGGTTTAGGGTTGGGGATCCTCACCTAAACCTCCAAATGCCAAACCCTAAACTCCTAAGCCCTGACCTTGCCCTGTCTCGCGGAGGTTCAGCTGCTGCTGGAGCACCTGAAAAATGAGATCGGCTACGTCACGGTGCGAGACCTCGGGGGGCCATCAGGGCTTTCTTTTGGGGGTTTAGGGCGTAGGGTTTACGATTCAGGGTTTAGGGTCTGGAGTTCTATTAATTTTTTTGGAGCTTACCCCAAGGGTCCAAGCACCTGATAATCATCTACTCTCAGAAATATTAACCTACATAGTTTAGGGTTTAGGGTTTAGGGTTTAGGGTGTAGGGTTTAGTGTAGGGTTTAGTGTAGGGTTTAGGGTTTAGGGTTTAGGGTTTAGGGTTTAGGACTACTATCCGTAACCAAAAGTACATAATTACTGGGTTTTTGACCCCCCAAAGCTTCCCAAATAGTAACTTACCTAACTACTAGGGTTTAGGGTTTAGGGTTGAGGGTTTAAGGTTTCTTAGGGTTTAGGGTTGAGGGTCTAGGGTAATTTACCAAACTACTATCCGTCACCAAAGTACCCGATTCTTGGGTCCTTTGGACCAGGACTCAGATTTTAAGGCTGTTCGGCCCAAAGGCCCTATTATATAAGGCTTTTGGGCTATTTTGATGCTAAAAAAGGCCCTAAACCCTAAACCCTAAACCCCAAAAAGTAAATTACAATGGAGACTAAAACCTGGGGTCTAGGTTTCCCCTAAACCCTAAACCCTAAACCCTAAACCCTAAACCCTAAACCCTAAACCGGGAATGAGATCGGCTACGCCGAAGGGGGAGATGGCAGGGCTTCAAGGGGATGTTCTTCAGGGGTTCCTTTCATAGGGGGTTTCAAAATTCTATAAAGGGTTAAGGGTTCAGGGTTTAGGGTTAAGGGGTGTGTAAACTGGTTTAGGGTTTGGGGTTTAGGGGTTTTGCAAATTTTTCGGGTTCCTGTCAAGGTTTAGGGTGTAGGGGTGAGGGGCATTATTAGGGGTTTATTACGGCTCCCTCTGAAAAGGGCACCCATAAAGGTTTAGGGTTTAGGGGTTCATAAACCTCCCGGGTTCCTATAATCCTTAGCATCAAAAAAGCCCAGAAGCCCCATAGAATAGGATCGTCGGGCCCAAAAGTCTGAAACTATGAGTCCTTCGAGGCTAAGGGTAAGGGTTTTGGGTGCGCGGGTTTGCGGGTTCAGGAGTTTTATAGGGGTTCCTTGTTACGGTGTAGAGGTTTTGGGGTTTAGGTGTTTGAGACGCATTCCTTTTTTGTGGTATCGTTTCTGCCTCATGGAGTGAGACTAGACGGGTGAAGGACACGGCTCAGATCCGTAACTCCAGGCCCAAATGAGGAGTATGAGCTACCTTCATGGGGTTCCCTAAACCCTTAAACCCTAAACCCTAAACCGTGACTTCTTTGTATCTGTCGTCAAAAAATAGGCTAATTGAGGTGCTGTCTGTACGTGGTCGGAGGTGCAAGCAAAATGCCCAAGTGCTGAAGCCGCCCTAAACCCTGACCAGTAAACCCCTAAAGCCTAAAGCCTCAACCCCAAACCCGAAACCTCTAAACCACTGAGGGGCAGGTTCTTCATGGATTTAGCTACCGCTCCTAGGAGCAACACCCCTCCAACATGGAGCAGCCCTCAAATCATGGGTTTAGACTCAGGGTTTGGGATTGGGAGGTGCTGCTAAGAATTGAGCATGTAGCCCCAAAGAATACGGTCCGACATCCAATCTGTCTCAGCCGCATGTTTGCAAGGCCAAGCAGACGGGGTTCAAGTTTATGAGGTGCGCCTGCGCTTTGGGAGTTGGAGTTTAGGCCCAAATTTTTAGGCAGCCGTTCTCAGATCTTAGGGTTCTGTTTATGGTTTTGTGTTGCTTCTGCTTCTGCTGTCTGTTCAACATCTGTGTACCTATGACCTACTGGCGAAGTCTCCTGAATCCCCAGCAGTCTAGGGGTGAAAAGTATCGATGATGGTCACCCTGACCGCCCGAAAGCCTGAAGCCTAAACCCAAACCCTAAACCCGAAACCCTAAACCCCAGCCCCGCCGATCCTAATTCCCAACCCCTACATCGAGAAGCGCCGGGACTATCCACAAGATTCCAACTACCTAACACACTTATACTCTTGAAAATCCTAACCGACAAACTACAATCCGTCACCAAAGTACCTAATTTCTAAAGGGTATAAACCTCAAACGCTACCCCGAACTGCATGTGTGGGCCATGCCCAGAAGCTGCTACCATTGCCACAGACGAATCAGTCAACATCGCCTTCAGGCGGGACTGCGCAGCTGCGCCTTACATGGCCATGGCCGTCACTTACGAGGGGGGCAACCCCACCCTGAGGCGCATCCGCCCTCGGAAGCTGTGCAGCGCGGCGGGTTGCCGGCGCATCGTCTCAGCAACGTGCGCCTCCAGGCTGGTGCTAGCCGGTGCGCTAATCATGGCGGGCCCCTGCCCTGCAACCTTCAGCTGCGTCTTCGGGCGCGCCGCACTTGCGGCAATGCTCTGCAGCTCTATAGAACACAGCAGCTGGTTCGTTCCAGCTTCCACCCGGCTTAGGGGCTTGCTTGACGCAGTAGTCTGGTGATACGTGGACACTGCTGGTTGATTCGTTATTCTGCTACTTGTAAAGCCACCCCAAACCCGAAACCTTTAAATTTATCTCAAAATCATCTTCTTTCCGGCACTGATGAACCGCCTCTAAGTGGAATGTCCGCTTGCCGAGAGCCCTGGCCGTTTCAAAACAAACTGAGCCCCCGTCCTTACTGGACGTCTTCCGGGCCGTAGTAAGTAGCTTACAACTTGAGGGAGAATAAGGCTAGCCCCCATTCAAAGTACGGTCAGCCGCAATTATTGCCTACTGACTGACCAAACCCGGAACCCTAAACCCCTAAGCCTTCAGCCCTGAACCGTGAGCACCTAAAGTTCTTGAATCCTTGAGTACTTGAACCCGAGGCCCAGCCCCTTTGAAGTGGGTGCTTTGTTTCTTCTGGGTCGATGGCCGAGCCATACTGTAGAACCCTTCCTTCGGGGTTAGTCTGTCTGGTGCTTAGTAGGGAATGGGGGAATGGATCCCTCTGATAGTCCCTTAAGGTCCCTTATAGTAGTCGCTATAACCCATTCCCCCATTCCCTACTAAGCACCAGACAGTAGTGCATAGTACATCATTCTTTGAGACCTTAACCCTAAACTGAAAAGTCCCAAGCCCCCAAATGGGAGTTTCCGAAATTAGGTTACCGTATTTTGGGGTCCTTATGATAAGGATCCTACTATTTAGGGTACTATATTAGAGTCCCCTATTTTCGGAAACTCCCAAATGTATAGCACGCTGTATGCTAGCTAATCCTTAACCACCCGACCGCAGTGCACAGGCAGCTCTCGACTTTCCTTTGCATTTGGTGGCCATAGCGGGTTTGTTTAGGGTTCAGGGTTTAGGGCTTAGGGTTTTAGGGCTGAGGGCTTAGGGCTGAGGGTTTAGGGTTTAGGGGTTTGCTTCGGGCTCTGGGTTTAGGTCGTAGGGGCTTAGGCTTTATAGGGCTTTCTGTGTGTGTGTAGATTCATCCTCAGCCAGCTGAGTGGCCGTGGGCAGTATACAAGATTTGTTACGCCGATTGAACGGGCTTGAACTTATGGCTTTCACCCTAAAGCCCTAAACCCTAAACCGGGTGGAGTGTAAGTTTCGGTTTCTCGAGGTGTTTTATCGACTCAGGGACTCAGCATACCCCTACTATGTTGGCTCAGACTGTCAGTGAACCCCCTCCAATAGGTTTCGTGCAGAGTGTTCGGTTATTGGGGTGCAATCGGGGCCGAGTGCTTGGGTTGCGGTGTATTCCTAGACCCTAAACCCGTAAATAACCTAGAGCCAGAACCCCGAACTCAAAATTTGAAAAAGCCAAAGCCGAAAGGCTCCGAACCAACAGGATGCAAAATCCTGTTGGCATGCCCCATCATTACAGGGAGAAGACCATCATCTTCTGCAACAGCACCGACACGGCTTCGCGGTCGCGGCCTCAAAGATTGCAGGTTGAGGATGCAAACCTTCTACATTGCAGGATCCTTAGCCAGAGAATGTAGGTTCGGCATCTTGCATTGACAGTTTTAGGGTTTAGGGTTTAGGGTTTGGGGTAGAGTTATGTGAAGTAGGGTCTGTACTAATTAGGGATTTGGTGAGTGTGCTGTGCTCCTTAAACCTTCGGTGTATGTCTATTTGGGTTCACTATAGGGAACTGGTACTGAACACCATGCATATTTCCTCAGAGAGTTCGGGGGCTCGTGATTTAGGAAATTTAGAGTCGTCGTCCGGCAGATTCCCTGATGCTCCCAGACCCAAATCGCAAACCCCCAAACCGAATTCCCTGAACACTGAACCCTAGACGGTGTTGCAGAAGTGATGGGGGCATTGTAAAATGTTTCAATCCTTGGGTTAAAGCCTGAAGCCCGAGACCCTTAAACCCTAAATCCTTAAACCCTGCACTCTCAGCCACAAGCCCTAGACCCTTGTCAGTTCGATCGAAAGGTCCTGAGCGCTATTCGGACCGAATTCGGTTTTGCTTAGCTGCGTCTGGGTCCGCGCCGGTGGAACATCCTACACCCCAGGTTGGTTCGACTTCTGAGCGTTTGTGACTCAGAACCACACTACCTGTTACTATCCAGTACCCAGACCCCCAAAAGGATCTAAAAAATAGATCCCCTAACTAGGGACCCTAACTACAATACTAAAGGGTAATTTATAGGAACTCCCTTAGGGGATCTATTTTTAGATCCTTTTGGGGGTTTGGGGTATGGGCTACTGTGCATTCAAAAGGGCTGGTCTCTGGACCTCAGCGCTCGTAGGGCAGCAGAGCCATTTACCTGTTGCAAGCTCGAACCGACAGTGATGCTATGTGTAAGCTAGGCCTCCATCATCATGATCGTCATCATCACCATCATCATCTTCATGATCATCATCTCCTTCATTGGCAGCATCATCGTCATCATCCTCATTACCGTCAGCATCACAATTATCATCATGATCGTCCCCATCGTCATCGTCGCCGACGTCATGCTGATCATTAACCCCGGAACCAGAAATCCAAATCATAAACCTCTCAACCCCTCAGCCCTCAGCCTTCAGCCCTAAACCCTGAACCCTAAACCCTAAACCCTAAACCCTCAACCCCTAAACCCTAAACCCTCAACCCCTAAACCCTAAACCCTAAACCCTAAACCCTAAACTAGAATTTTTGACCGTGGTTTTTTCGAGGCTCGGAGAGCTCCTCGCGACGACGCATGGCTTCCGGAAGGCTTTTGCGGTTCAGGGTTTTAGGGTTCAGGGTTTAGGGTTTAGGGTTTAGGGTTTAGGGTTCAGGGTTGAGCGGTTTAGGGTTTTAGGGCTCCAGGGGTTTAGGGTTTAGGGTTTAGGGTCCACATTGTTCAGCGCTTCGGGCTTGGAGTTGGGTGTTTTTGTTGTTAGGGTTTAGGGTTTAGG